TATTTCTGAAAAGCAGAACTTCCACTTTCATTATGATAACTGTTGCCCTTCAGTAAGCAACTGTGTTCAACTCATTCCTGACTGCTTTCTCACAACTGCTGACAAAAAACTAACAGGCAGAAAGACAGCACGAACAACTCCTGCAAAGGGAGTTATCTATGTAAAATAGTGGTTAACCCTAAAAGCATTCCTATTCATGCAAAGTGCTCATTAGCTATCTGTATTTAAAACTTCCTCTACTAATGAGCAACCCTGTCTCTTACATTATTTTCTTGGTATCTTCTGTTTATGTTAACCTTCTGTTTATCTGCCCAGCCAAGACCTGAGTATCCAATAAAAACTGCCTGAAATGATACAGTCAAATAAGTGAACAAGCTACTGATGGACAAAACCAGCCTAATTGGAATGAAAGGCACCAACCAGAAACAAAACCGGAACCAGCCCACACTGGTTCTGGTATAGAATGAGCACACAGGCCAAACGTTTGCTCCTTTACAACACAGTTCTGGTTTTATGCCAACAACATACATCTCACAAAAGACACTCCAGGTATGCAATTACTTAAGTGGAACCATAGATAGTAGTCATCATTTCCACAAGAAGATACAAGTAAGTGATAAAAAGGTGATGCTCCAGTAAGCCTCTGGAATTCACTGGTAAAACTGAGAAGTAACTCTGAAAAAAGTAGTTCAAATGCATATCAGCAGATCTGATATAAGGCAAAACAGATGAACTTCAAAATGCAGAACAGTAGTATTGGACACAAGTTTTTTCTGACTAAAGAGTAACAGTGGGGGTTTTTTGGTTTGTTTTTTTACTACTGACATATAAAAACATTCTTCAAAATAGCAACAGGCTCAATGAAATCAGCAGCTAAAATATTACAAATATGACATGTGAGAGACATGGCGCAATTCTAAATTTTCATACTACTCTTACATAAAACTAACACTTGAACACTTGCAAGACTATAAACTCAACCCAATCCAAGAACTTCCCAGAAGTCTTTACCCTGCACTTGTTACATTTTAATAAGCAATGCAGATGGGGAAAAAAATCAACTACAAAAGCCAAGTATCCATGCAAGTATTTACTATTTCATTGTTCTTGCACTATTCTTTTTGAGTAGTATTGGAGTGGCTTCTTTTCACCCTTTTCAAAACATGAACAATATTTTTTAAAGTTAAGAGCAACATGATCACTTCCAGTGTTTTATCAAACAGATATAAAATTTTCACATTTTATATCACTTGCTTGTTCTCAACATCTCTGGTACATTCAGTGTATTTTCATGATGATGAAGATAAGAATTTGATATAACTATTATTTTCATCTGTCTTCTACATTCAAATTTACTCATGAAAATGTGAATGTGTTAAAAAAATAAAGTTAATGCATGATAAATTCTACTGCACAACTGAAGATAAAATAACCACCCTAATCTTCTTTTTAATGATTTTATATGATCAGACCTCTGGATCAGTTTATACAGGTATAAGAATTTGACAAAAATATGTAATATTCATATATTGTGTATGTCTATTTAAGATATAACTGATAACAGTTACCCTGTTTCCATGCTGCCCTTAGTATGCAGAAATGTCCCAAGCAATGTTGTTCAATGGCCTTCTAAATCAGGAAGAGCTAGCTGTTGTGTTTTAATATAAAGTGCATCATCATCTAAAAGCAGTTCAGAACATGCAGACTCGTATTCCTTCCCTTCTGCTTTCAAGAACCATACTTCAACAATAACTGTTACCAGTTAATCTCCTCTGAGAGGATCAGTATATGGTGTTAAGGAATGGATCCTTCTGGAACTTGTACTTTTGGTTTAGCAGATCTATACTGGTCCTTTATAATCTCAACTAAGATATGAGCACTTTTCTTACAAAGGTTAAGAAAAGACAAGAAGATTTAAGCTCTTCAAAAGCTAAAAGATCTGACAACTAATTATTTTTAGTTATATATTTTCTGCATCCAACTAGTAAAAAATTAGAAAGTTCTCTGCTATAAATTCAATCCATTTTTATAAAGTAGCCTCCACAAAGAGGAGGGGGAAAACTAACAACCAACCACACAGTCATACTCTGCTTAACAGGTGCAGGACGAGGTGTAGCAATCACTTTGCGAACATGAACTTTTAAACATGAGATGAATCCTTGTTTGTAAATACACAGCACAATCCCAAATTTGATTACACCATAAAAAGTAAACACTTGCTAGTATGATTATCAGCATACTAACTACAACCATAATGGCAGTAATAACATTGGCACTTAAGGATCCTTTTTTTCCACAAAATGTCCTGGAGAGACTGACTTTCAAAGTACAAAGAAGTAAAAAAGAAAAATTCACATTATGAAAATATTTTTTTATCAGAAACTACATTTTAGGCAAAGCTTTGTTATCACAACATTCATTTGTAATGCACAAGCATGTCTGAAATATAAATTTAGCCTTTCCTACAATGAGCTGAATGAAACCCCAGCTTTGCTTTTTGCATAGAAAAGCAGTATAGATCGTACAAAATCTACAAGTTAACAAGACGGACAAAAAGCAATTATTGAAAATCTTTCAGTTGTCCAAACAGTGTCTTAAAATGCCTTTCTCTGTGTCTCCTACATATCATAGGTGCTAAGAACAGGGCAAAAAGAGAAGTCAGACATGCTGCAAATCTATCTTCCTGGTTAGTCAAATTACAAAATAAGATTCACTATCATAATTTCTTCACATTTTCACTTTTTTTTTTTTTTTTCTCCTCACAGTGGACCTTAATACATTCCTGTGTTTTCAGCTTAAGTGGTGATCTAAAATGCAAGTATTCCAAGATAGAAAAAGTGAAAAAATCCTCTTCCTCAAGAGGATTGTTTCCCCCAGTTATGCTGTGGTTAATTTTAGGGTTTTAGAGTAGGTCAGTTTCCAGTGAAATGAAATAATGCTCATTATAATAAAGAATTTATTGATCCTATGGAAGTTTTCATGCTTTAGTCAAAGGTAGCTTAGACATTACCAGGCATCTCTGATCAGTCACCCTCAGAAGCCAAGCCTTGTTGGAAATGCAACAGAACCATCCTCAATAACCACAAAACCTTTCAATTTCTAGCCTGAGCTTTCACCAGCTACTTTGAACTTGAGAAAGATATCATCAGAGTCGTCATATGACTCTTGCTGTTACTGCATTACAAAATAATTACAGTACATTTTTTCATTTTAAGGCATGCAAATCATGTTTATTCTCAGAACCTCAGCATACTAATATTGGCTCTTCTAATAAACGGAAAACTGCAAATGAATCTTACTTGTCTAACTTACAACTTATATGACATGTCAGAAGCCTGAAATTCTTTAGCAATGTGCACATTTTTTTCACACTGTATTTTATCATGGGACTTCTAAATAAAGAATTTGGGCTTTAGAAGATAGAATTACTTAAAATTCAAAATCTTGTATACATTTCTGTTCTTTAAACTCGTAATTCTACAAGTTCCCCATCATCAGAAATCCTGGCCAAAATTGAAAGTGCTTAAGTTTAAAGCTTTAAATCAGATTAATGTATTACAGTATGAAATTTAATTCTCTCAAAGTGTAAGGTACGTAAAGTATGATTTCATAATAACATCTCTCCTTTCAGTTGTGGACCAAATACTTTTAAAGCTTTCAAACCATTTTCTCAATATTTAAATTAGGCTGTATTTCAATCTACAGGGCAACAAGCAAATCACCTACGATTCTATCAACTGCAATGACTGCCTACTAAACAGCTGACAAAATCCAACAAAACCTTGAAAGATTCAATTTCGAGACATTAAATGCTATACCTCTAGATTTACATATATAAAATATCTGAAATATCCCTTCAGAATATTTTTTCTTTCCCCTCCTTCTTTGCCCCACCCAATTTTAGAATTCTTTAGACACAGTTGAGCTATCAACATACAACTTACAGAAGTTCAACTGAAATGAACGAATGTTTAGTTTTCACAGAATGAAATATCCACTTACAGCATCTTGGTCTTAATCCAACACGCTCCATGTAAATATACCCTCTAAAGCTGTTTATGCATGAACAGCTGATGCAACTGAAAACTGTCAATCAGGAGATGATCTGCATGCATACGTAAATCTATCTAGCTTTTTTTGTAGCCCCAAGGATTCATGGGCTTTAAAGCTGAAGAAGCAAAAGAAAAGATCTGTCTTGTGTACTTCACTGTTCTACGCCTCAAAATCTAAATCACAGCACTGTTCATTGCTTAAATAAGGGCATTTGGTATAAGAAACTACCAATCCTCCTGTACAACCTGAACTTTATTCTACTTCTGCTGATCATTTTTCATGTCAAAATATTAACCATATTTCCAGCAGAACAGTATCACTAAAAATAAGCAATTTAATCTGCAAATACATTTGGCACGTAAACTATTTTGATTAGCAAAAAATGGAAGAACTTCCTAAAACATCAATTTTAAGAACAGCTAGTGACTTTAAAAGATGTTCAAAGATCCCATCCTCAGTTCCTGAGAAACCCTACAGTAACTGGACATAAGCATCTGATAAGGCATAGTGAACTCTTATAAGCTATTAATTTGCTATGATCTGCAGATGGATCCATAACATTTCTTGAAAAGAAAGTTAACGAATGATAGAAATAGTGTGTCACTAAATAAGTAACATACATCTGTTGGCATGTGGAGGGCATTAAAAGAGGGCAATAACGAGACAAGACTAAAAGCAGTACAGTTAATCACCATGTTTAAAAGCAAACCCTTTTTTTGCACAAAATTTGGAAACAGTATTTCCATTCAGGGAAACCATTTTCTTCCTGGACAGCTGCAGAAGAGTTTCAAAGGGCAAAGAAAAATTTCAGTATTCTGCAGGTTCTTAAATATTCTACTAAGGTTGGAACATCATCATTTTGGGGGTACAGAGAATGGAATAGAAACAAAAAGTAGACCAAAACCATCAAATGTTTTCCCTTCTAAAGCCCTTGAAAATAAAATCACCTGTATGCATCGTCTTCTTTCAAGTCTCATATCATCCTGCGGGGGTGTGGGGGACGGGGGAGTCCAGCAGCAAGCAACACTGCAAACGAAGAAAAAAAGAGAAGTAAATGTAAATACAAAGTAATGAGATACCTAAAAAACATTTAAGCCTCCATTCCATTAGATCCACATTGCGCTTAGTTCAACCCTGGCTCTCAGGTATAATCACAGAGCTAAATCAAGGAAGTTCCAACAGAAAATGAAATTTTCCAACAATAAAAGTAGAAAGAGACATTACAAAGACTATCTTCCACTGATATCTATTGTTAGAAAAATTTATCTAAGTGTCCAAATTTCAGAGATTAACTTAAATTTCAATTAGCCATTGAACAGTTCTGAAAAAAAAGCTCTTCTCAAACCTGCAAAAGTGAAATTACTGATAGTTATTCATCTTTGCAAATAAATATGTGGATTTTTACATAAACTCAGGACAATATCTATAAAACACAACAGCACTTATGTGGGATTTTACTAAATCAACAAACTATAGAGCTGCAAGTGCACATAAATCCATACATGCACAAGTCCATTTTTTCCTCTTTTCACATGAAATTGAATTAGGCTCACTTTATACCAAATTAAAATATGCTCAGAAAAATTAACTGTCTGCAAGATAAAAAGATACAAAGATATGAGTTTCTAGGAAGAAATAATTAATAGAAGTTAAAAAGAACAGTGGGAGTATAAAAAAACCCAAACCAAACCAAAAACATGCAAGGAAACCACCAAGCTCCCAAACATAACACCCAACAATTAACCAACCCCTGGTCAAAGTATTTTTCAAGTATTTGCTTTTCACTGTTCTCCAACTAAATATCATTGGTAGTCTACAACCTACAAAGATATCAAAACCTCTTCCAAATTACTGAGAATTTTAAAGAATCTCTGCAAATTACCTAACAGATCAAATTGTAGGGTCTTAATTATTACTATTTAAACACCTCCTGATATACATAACTCCGAGAAAGCGTGTCTAGCCTAAAATGCACTTAGATACTGCAATTTGAGCAGACAGTGTTGCAGTTCACTCCATTTCATCAGCAGTGACTGTTTAAACACTGTATATACCCTAACCCAAGTTAGTTTTTCTGTCACCACACTGGCTTCTTCCTTGTGCCATGGAAATGTGACATGCATTCATAGACACACAAAACCAAAAAGGGGTGTAAGGAAGAATTACTTTTTTGATACATGTAGGGGTCACATGTTTCAGCAGGTCTGTTATTTTACAAGCAGGTGAATTCTTGCTGTTCTGCCTCCAAAAGATGGAGGAGGCAAACAAAAACTGCCCATGCCGCATCTTGAAACAACAGCCTTAGTTTTTTACTGCTGAAGTTCCAGAGACCTAGAATGTCACTGCCACATCCACAGTAGTCATGAACTTGTCAAGGCTGATGAGTACTGCCTAAGGCTACACAAGACCCTACAAACTAGGCATTCTCATGGCTAAATTGCTTCAATTTGGATAAAAGATTCAGTCTGGTACATGTGCTAAGTGTATACATTACAGAGACAGATTTAGTGTCTTGCACTGAGCTTAGTCCCACTAAACACAGCAGAGGCAGCCACTTGTACTCAAGAACAAGAAAAAAGGAAGAAATAGCAAACTCTTCTCTTCTTTCCATGAAATAGTCCCTGGATTTAAACAAACAACAGAAGTCCCGGAGCACCAGATATGTTCAGCCTAGTTAGGTGTCTTAAGGCTACAGAGCTATAATCTCATTTTTGAAGTTTTCTCTGTCCAAGTTAATTTTATTAATTTTTATTATTATTAACTACAGTATCTGTGGATACTAGTATTAGAGAAAGCCTTTTCCAGTGGTAGCTGCAGAGACTGAAGGCATGACTCTTTTGTCCTTACCACTCTGTAGCTCAAATACAGCAAGGATCACCTCTCATTTGCATTAGTACAAGGCCAGTTTCAATAAGCCAGCTTAGTTCAAACTATCAACAAACATGAGCAAAGCTAGCTGATTTTCAGCCAAAATAGATCGCAGAGCATTCATACATTGTCTTCTGCCAGTTCTACAATGGGAATGGTAAGCTCCAAAAGCAGCACATTAGCACATCTCCGGAGCTTTACAACAGCCTAATGTTGTATCAAACTGACTGCAACGCTAGCAACATACAGCACTGTCGTGGGCAACAGACTGCCAACTCTATTCCAAACCGTAAGAGGAGGAAATCAGTTGATAAGAACATACTATCCAATAAACACAGAGAGTAGCAAGCTATAGCTACAGAACTTGAAATCACACAGCTGATTTTGTCAAAGCAGTAAAGCAACTTCATACACACAGGAAGCTATGTTTTTTGCTGATTGGAAATTAACCTAGGTTATTTTTAAAATCACTTATAATACTAACTCTGAAAAAGTATTTCTCTTTCAAAGAATTCACAAAAGTATAAGAAACGAGAAACCACAGACCTGAGTTATTTTAGAATTTAGAAGATGATGTTAGAGCTACTGACAGTAAGAGTTGCTGATGTAATTATGAAGCCATCAACAGGTTATTAACAGGGAATCAATACATCCACCCACAAACCAATGCATTTCTTCAGTCTCATCACAACTCTCCAACAATTATCACATTCTGAAGAACTGGACAACTAGAGTGGAATTAAAACCCACAGTGGAGGCAGGTGTCTATTGTAGTGCTGTATTCTAATAAGTGATCCACAACATAAAGAGCAATCTTAAAACAGTAGCAGAGAACAAAGACAATGAGTTACTGTGATGGTAACAGTATCATAGACACACAACATAAAAGGGTAACATTTTAAACTTACCTTTTTTTTTTTTTTTTTTTTTTTTTTTTTTTTTTTTTTTTTTGTGTTAACAGATACAACCAAATCATATAATAGTTGCAGAGGTAACACATTAAACTCAGTAACTGAATGTCTTCTGTTGTGCCTCTGCATTGCCAAGTTCTTAAAACCAAAAGGCCTTTTACACAGCCCATACAAGGGCTTCCTGGTTCAGATAATAAATTGATGACAAGAGCAGGCAAGCACAAGTCCCACCCATTCCACAGTCTATAAAATCATTGCTAGAAGAATCCCCGTAATAATAACATTTACTAGGCTTTAAGAACCCAGTTTGATCTATTGACTGCTACAGAACTGAATTGGAAATAAGAGTGGAGGGAGGAAGAGATCCCAAGAAAGGTGTTGAAAAGCAAATTAATGAAAGTGGCATAACAAGCAAAAGAATAAAAACTCAAGTCTTTCATTTAAACAAAAAGAGCGGTTCTTAGAAATCACGTGTGTATTAAGCTACTACACTAAAACTTTACTTCACGCTTTTATTTCCTATTTTAATTACTGTTGCTTTCTACTCTTCATCTCTCCTACCCACACACAGTGCTCCTCTGATCTCCTCAACATACAGATAATGGGATTACCTACTCAAACCACTCCACATTCATTAATAATTTAAAGTGTAGAGTTCAGCTTTATTACAAAATCTTTTGTTAGACAAGCCAAAGATGCTGAGCACATTTTATCCCATGCTATACCCCAACATATTATAAAGATGGTGACTGTGAAAAACAAAGCTTTCACATCTCAGGCTTTTCCTTGCACCATAAGCCCGGTTTGCCTGTTAGCCTCTTTGAGGACTAAGGTTGTATTCCACTGTATTCCTTAACAGCACCACTCCTTCCTTCAAAACACTCAATACCCAACTTATGTCAATAGGTTCACTGTAAATCAAAGTTGGTTTCAGAGCAATCACACTTCTAAAAACCTAAAAGTTAAAGTGCAAAAACCATTACACCTCTCTGAAGATGCTTCATCATCCTCCCCCATTTCTCTTTTTTGTATTTGGCTGGGTATCAATCAGATGGTGAGATTTTGCAAACAGGGACAATTTTGTTACATATGAACACAGTAGAAAGCCAGTTCAGCTCAATCTAGATGCAGCAAAGTAGTAAGACTTTTTTTTTTTTTAAAACTATATTATTTTATAAACATAACAATGTACGCAAGTTACATATTTAGTTTGTATAATAGTTACTAATTTAAAGCATGTAGAGTTAAAAGATTTTATCCAATTGTATTCAGTGCAAGTTTACAAAGTGTTAAAAGCAACTATCAGACATCTTTAAAGAAAGGCCACATTTACACTCCAATTCTGCTTTAATTTTAAGCGTATATGAAGAATTCTTTTCTTAACAAATTTAAGTAAGAGTTTTCAGAAAATCAACAATAGGACACCCAATATCTTGAATTAAAAGTCTGCCAGGGAGGTTTTTAATTTTTATACTACACTAATTTTAAAACTTTGTATATAGATTTAGTTTCCTCATTCATTACCACTGTATTGTAAGATTTGATATGGCACCTTTTGCAGATTAATCACAAAAAAAGTTCTAGAAGATTTTCCTCTGTGAAGAGGTTATGTTGCAATTTCTGAAATCATACTCATGAACTACCAAAGAAATCTCTGCATATCTCATGACTACATATACTGTTGTCAGAGATGAACATAATTCAGGTCACTGACCTTCGGTAAATACAGGCAGGCCTGTTGCTAGCAACATAAATACTTACTTAGAAATGAAAATATATATATATTTATTTATTTACTAGAAAAATTATCCTGAGGTATACACCATGAAAAAGAGATTATTAACATACCATTATTAACACATAATAGATCCAGGCATATATAAATCTATACGATAGCAATTTCTTAAACTGTTGTTATTCTGCATCTCAACACCCTTTTCTTGGAACTACACAGAGACAACCAATGATGTTGCATGATGTAAGACACAGGGCAAAAGATTTACCAAATACATCAGATTTGGTGTCTTATTCAAAATAATGCATAATAAATTGTGAAGTTCAACCAATACTGCTGAAATGTAAAATAAATCTCATCGGGTGCTAGTAATTGTCAACTTCCAGAACTAGTTCCCAGAGAGACATGATTGAGGAATTCCAAAATCATTATTTTTACATCACACAGCACATACTATGTGTGCTGTTACTAGGTAAAATCCTGTGTGTTTAGATGTACAAATTAACATGTATCTGAAAACCAAACATGCAGAAAGGTGTATTTACTGCTTCT